TTGGCTCGGACCCTGTTTTGGTCAGTCCTGTGAACCAGGGCGGGCCTGACATTCTGGGAATGCAGGGAGACTTCAAACCAACTTCATGAAAACAAGTTGTAAAAACACTGGCCACCACTCAAAGGGGCCGGCTGATTGGCTCGGCTCCACAGAGCTGGGTTGAACAAGTTCACCAGAAGGGAACACACAGCAGGAAAGACTAAGGTAGACCCAGAGGAAGAACTTCCCAGTAACTGGGAGCCGAGCCCGGGGATGGAGCTGGGCTTGGCCTCTTTGGAAGCAGACCAACCCATGTGCCGACATTCCCAGGACTTTCTTGTCGGAAGCTTTACGAAGCCACTTCAGTGAGCATCGCAGGCACAGAACCACGGCAGGCCAACCCCGCCCGGCCCAGAGCGTGTATCGCTGACCTGAAACCTAGTTTACTGATGAGGATGTTCTGACTTTGAGTGGCTGCTGTCTCCTAGGAGGTCCAAAGCCTCCACAGGCGGGGGCCCTGGAGCCTGTCAGAGCTCAGGGCAGGGCAGAGGGCCTCTGTACCACCGCCTCTGCCCCCTGCCGTCCACAACCATCCCTCTGGGAAGAGCCACCTCCCCCAGGAGCCCTCCCTGATGCAGAGGCCCACACAGGTGTTTATAGATGAGACCTGCCCACCCCTCCTACCTCCCGCATTTCCTCTCTCCTCTCCCCTCTCCAGGCAGCGCTAAACAGGCCTCAGCCAGTGTGTCCCCGCCACCCCTGCCAGCACTCCCTGTCTTTCCTTCTTTCTCATCCCATGTTCTCAAACAGTTGTCTACACTCGGTCCCCATTCCCTCCCTCCCTCCCACCGCTGTGAAATCCACTGCCCTCCATTCCCACCGAGCTCACTCACGGCCTCCAGGGAACGAGCTCACCGCACAGTTCTCAGTCCTCCCCGACACTGGGGACCTCGCCTTCCCTCGATGGCTTCCAGGCCGCCTGCTGCTCTGATTCCCATACCCTCTCCCACCACGGAAGCCGCCCTCTCTCTGCCCAGGCCCCCTGCTGCTGCTGCTCTTTATCCTCAGCCCCATTTCCTCCCTTGCCCTTCACACTCTCCTTGGAAGATATCGTTCATCACCCTTGTCTCTGCCAGGCCTAAGCTCAAGGCCTGTGTATCCAATGAACCCCTGGGCATCCCACAGGTATCTCATGCACACAGGGACCAATTGGGAATCCATTGCATCCCCCTAAACCTGCTCCTCTCCCTCCTCCTCCCCCCAACTCAAGCCACCTCCATTCTCCCAGGCTTCCAGGCCTGGAAGACGGGAATATCCCTGCCCACCTCCCCAAATTGCAGCCAGCACCAAGCCCCAATCTGTTCTCCTGCGCCTTCCCCGCATCTCCCCCCACACAACCTTCCAGTCGCCCCTGGGAAGCCTTCCTTGACCCTCCTGTCAGACTTGGGCACGCCCGTTCCTGCTTCTGTGTGCCCCACACAGCCCTCTGGTCACCAGCCGTGTGGGTGTCTAGCGGCACATCCCCTGGCCCAGGCTGCCCCCCAGAAGGGCAGGGGTGGCGTGGGATCTGACTCGGGTCCCTGCACCCAGCCTGGGCTTGGTACAGAGAGGCCTCCAGGAAGGTTCCCAAATCCGAGAAGCTGTGTTTCTGCGGAACGTACGCCACTGGTGAGGTCTGCATCTCCCCTCGGCCCACAGCCCCGCACCCCCCAGGGCCAGGGTAGTCTCTTTGCTCTTCCCCTCCTCAGGGCTCAAACCGCAGGAGGGCTTAGTTCCCTCTTAGAGACACTGTAGCCTATCACTGACAAGGAGCTCGACGGGGCCTGGAGGGAACCAAGGGCCCCCCCACCACATGTGCACGTGCACACACACAAATATGCACACACAGGCAGACATGCACAAGTACACAGAGCACAAGTTCACAGACAGACCCAGGTAAACACACACACACACACACACACACACACACACACACTGGCACAGGGCACAAGCACATGGGCTCAGAAGGGACACGCAGGTGTGCAGACAGCCGCACAGGAGCGCAGAATCCTGAAAGTGGCATGGACGTGGGCCACTGCCTCCTGCAGGGCACCAGCCTCCCTGGGTGTCACAGGCTCCAGGAGTTAAGACTGGCTTGGCCTGAGCTCAGGGCTGCCTCTCAGAGATACAGGGCAAGGGGGGGGGGGGGGGGAGGGAACAGCGGCCCCCGGGACAGGACCCAGTCTGCTTCAGCCCTTTCTTCCTCTCACTTTCCACAAACTCTCCCTCCAGGAAGCCCTCCTTCACCATGCCCTCCCTCTCAGGGCTAGGGCACAAAGCTGCCCCCAAAGGGGGTCCTGGCTGAATTCCACCTTGATCTTTCCCTTGGGCCCCTTCTCACATAGGAGAGAAAGGCTGTATCCGCCCAGTCACAGCTCAGACCGTTTAGGATGGAGATTCCTCCCTTTTCCCAGCCCTAGGCCTGACTTGCCTCCAAATCACGGCTCAAATGTCCCTTCCAAGTGACCCTTGGCACTTTCCTTTCCCAGGCATCAGGGAGATAAAACTCTGGGGGGGGGGGCTCTGTGTTCTCATACTCCTTTTGCCGATGAGAAACCATGGCCCGGAGAGACGAGATGAGTTTCCCAGGGCCACACAGCTGCTAAGCCCTTCTTTCCTTTCCTTGAAATCATGTTCCCAGCCACGCCTCCCTCTGGCAGGAACACTGCCTTTTAAGGGTCGCTGGGAGGAGGCTTCAGGTGGAGTGTGGGTGGAAGCTCTAACACAGGCACCCTGCCCCTCAACAGCACCATTTGCACCTGACTTGGAGGCAGCCCCGAGTGCCTGAGGCTGGCTCCTTTATCATGGGATTTGGAGCAAGTCACTGAGCCTCAGTGTCCCCACCTGTGATATGAAGGGAGTTGGATATCACAACCCTCAGGATCTGCTCCGTATGCACCCTGCAAGACTGCAGAGTAGGGACTGGTATTGGAAAGGGAGACTGTTAGGGGTTCAGGAGCTATTCTGCACAGGCAGGGCTGGGAGCAGAGGCGAAGACCCTGCCTGGAACCCAGAGCTGGCTGCCAGGCTCCTCCAGGCCCAGTCTTCCCAGGCAGTCGCCCTCCAACCCTTCTACCTCCCCCTGCAGGAGAGCAGGTCTGAGTGGAGAAAAGTCAGAAAGTACCCAACACTAGAAGGGTGGGAAAGCAAGGCAGGGTGGGTATGCATAGCACATGGAAAGCTGATGCAAATACCCCAGGCGAACACCTGAGTTTCAGCCCCTTGACTCCTAACCTCTCCCTGTTCCCCCCAAGGCCACTCCCTATTCCCCCCTAAGTCCAGTACCTCCCCAAGTCCTGCTGATCCCGCTTGGGTCCCCATTGGGGCACTCCAGTCCTTCACATAGCTGCCTAAGAAATAGCTAAGGACTCCCTGGGACCTAGGGCATCAAACCTCATATGCGAAAAGCTTTTCTCATCTTGGCCTCAATCACCTTCCTGGCCTACCCCTGTTCCCCACAGAGAAACAACAGCCCCCCGGAGCTAAGTCCCTGCCCCAGGACTTCTACTGAACAACCCTGTGCCCCACCGACACAGCAAGTTCGCTCTGCAAGAGATGCCTTCCCACTTGTCTCTGTTGGTGAACTCCTATAGATCCCTCAACACCCAAGTAGGAAGTGCTGTGGTTCAGTGAATTGGCTTTGTAGCAGGAGTCAGGGTAAATCACACATACTCAAAATCACCGTGACTTTTGACCACAACCGCCACATATATATGATGCCTGTTCTAGACGTTTCCCATGTTTTGACTCATCTGATTCTAAGAACGGGGGCAGACTGTATTTCCAAACATGTTTCCCTTCCCTCTGGCTCTTCTTACAATGTAACTCTGACACTCTTCTCATGCACAGGCAGGGTCCGTGTTCCCCCCACATGAATCTGGGGTTGGGGACAAACGACTGAAGTAACACCACAAGACTTCCAAGGCCAGGCCGTCAAAGGTGACGCAGCCTCCACCTCATTCACTGGAACATGCCTGCTGGAGCCCCGGGCCCCTGCGTGCACGGTCTGACTGCTCCGAGGTGCCGCGCCGCGGGGAAGCCCAGGTGGGCCACGGAGAGGAGCGAAGCCCCAGGTCTGCATGGAGAACAAGAGGGCCCGAGCGGCCTCCGGCTCCCTGCCACTCCAGCTACCATCCACCTGGCTGTTATCCTCTCGGAGCACTCCGAGCCAGAACCACTCGGTCAAGTCCATCTTAAATTCCTTTTCTGTAGAAACTCAAGATAATAAAATGATTGTTCTTACATAAGCACACTAAGTTTCAGGGTGATTTGTTATGTAACGATAGTAACTTGAACATCATTATCCCCAATTTAGAGAAGACTCTGAGGCCCAGAGAGGCCAAGCAACTTGCCCAAAGTCACAGAGCTAGGAACTGGCGGGGTCAGGATTCGAACCCAAGCGATGTAGTCCCAGAATCCACACTGTTCACTAGGATGCCTTACTAACTGCCTTTGAGGTATCGCTGGCCTCCAGGCCCACAGCAGGCCTTAGGGAGTGGTTCGGAATGCATGACTGAGGGAAGGAATAAGCAAATGAAAACTGAATGAGCTCAAGTTGAGAATGACCTCCCAGGGGCAACGCAGGGAAGTCAGACAAAGATGCACAATGCAAATGAGCTTGACCTGGGTTCCCCATCACTGGGGCAGCTCCACTGGCCACAGCCATGGGAGAGGGTGAGGAGCAGAGGTGCCCGGCGGATGCCACCTGCCTCTCTCTGTCAGAGACGCGCCTCGGAGGCTCATCTCCCTGTTCCCCGCCTCCCGCAACTCCACAGGCTGCAGGATTAGACACAGGCCCTGGAACGCCAGTCCCTGCTAAGGACTAGACCTGCGGATCCTGGGGACTGCACCCGGGAGGGCCCCGAGCTGGAAGGCCGCAGGTCCGGGTTAATCCCGGCATGGCCAGCGGCTGTGTGAATGGGGGCAAGCCCCCGTCCCTCTCTGGGCCTATGTGCTCTCAGCTCCGCTGTTGGAAGACTCACCAGATGCTGAGCTGGCCTTGGGGATGGAGGTCGACGTGAGCTTAGGTACGTGGGTCCGATAATCCACAGTCCTATAAACCCCCAAAGGGACCTGTCCCTAGAAGGAAAGTGGATAATGAGAATAAATCCTACCTATCACTCCCTGGGAGCCTGCTATGTGCCAGGCGTTTTTAAATGCACAATTTCCAGTCCTTGCCAGCAACCCCATTATGCACAGGAGCAGGTGATGAAGGACTCAGACTCACAGCTCAAGTGAACCGGAAGCCAGGTCTGCAGCCCAGGCCTGTTCAACATCAAAGCCTCCGCCCCTTTCACAACAGCAAGAGGTAGAGGCCACCCGGATATCCAACAAGGAAGAAAGGGATAAACAAAATGTGGCATATGCACACACTAGAACACCTTTTGGAAGATTTTTTATGTTTTTTTTTGTTAAACACAATGGAATATTATTCAACCGTAGAAAGAAGGAAATCTTGTCACATGCTGCAACCAAGGAGCCAACATGGGTGAACCTGGAGGACATTGTGCTAAGTGAAATAAGCCAGTCACAGAAGGACAAACACTATGTGAATCTACATACATGAGGCATCTACAGCAGCCAAATTCACAGAAACAGAGAGCAGATGGTGGTTGCCGGGGTGTGGGGGGTGGAGGATGAGGAATTGCTGATAAATGGGTATAGAGTTTCTGGGTTTTTTAAAATTTATTGATTTTTTAGAGGGAGAGAAAGAAATACCAGTTCGTTGTTTCACTCAGGTACACAATCATTGGCTGGGTCTCGTCTGTGCCCTGATGGGAGCACGAACCCGCAACCGTGGTGCGCAGAGACGGCACTCGAACCCGTCGTGCCACCCGGCCGCGGCTCGTCAAGTTTTGGTTTCACAAAATGAAGAGGTTCTGTGAATTTTTGTGAAACAACATGAACACAGTTAACGCTATTGAGCTGCACACACAAAAAAAATGATTAAGATGGCATATTCTGTGTGCCTTTTACCAGTTTTTAAAAAGTCCCATTTTGGGGGTAGAGAGAGATTGGGGGGCACTGGGGAGAGGAGTCCAAGCAGCCTCACAGCACGGGGAGCGTCAAGGTTGGGCAGGACCTGGGCGGGTGGAGGGGAGTCTGGGCCCCTGCAGACAGAGGCCCTGGCCTTTGGCCCCTGACGCTCTCCCAGGACCCAGCTGACCCCTGTCCCGCAGCTAGCCCACCATAGGCCCTCCAGACTCTCATACAAGAGCAGTGCCCCACAGGGGAACAGGCAACGGCCTGGAAGAAGGGATTTCTTGAACACCTACTTTGGTTCCCAGACCCACTTGGTGTGTGAGCTTGGGTCAGTCCCTGTCCTCCTGGGACCTCAGCCTTCCCTGGGGACAACCAGAATCCCTTTCCATTCTCACACTGGGAATAATCTCTGAGTGCAGGGGAGGAGGGAGGCAGCAGAGAGGGGACCAGGAGTCAGGAACTGTGGCCTTGTGACTCTACCCTGAGCAGTCTCTGCCCACCTCACAGAGGAAGTTTGGTTTCATTCCAACTCAGCAAACAGGTTCCTGCACTTGCTATGCCTGTGAAAGCGCCATAACTCCTCCTCCCAGCCCTGACCTGTTCTCCTACTCCAGGCTGCCCAGTGTGGAACAGCCTCTCACGTGAGGCAAAGCATGACTCAGTGTACGCAGCGCCAAAGTTCTCCGTGGCCAGTGCTCTCTCCAAGAATTCCGACTCTCACCTCTTCCCCTGACTCAGGAATTGTTGTCCCCACGAGGAATGAAGTGGGTCAGTCCTTGGTTACAACACCAGCTCTGCCAAATACTAGCTGGGACTCAGTGTTCTCATCTGCATCGTGGGAATACGGGCACCTCCCACAGTGTCCTGGTGAGGCAAGGATGCAAAACACCGAGCCCAGGGTCTGGAATAGAGGAGGTGCTCAATAAATGGCTGCCATCATTGGCTTTCTCCTTGAGGACGAAGCCACTTCCACCAATCTGTTCCTCTCAGAGGCCGCTTTGTTTGTTTGAACTCTTCCCAGAAGAGACACTCCCCCAGGAACGCTGCTGCTGAGCCCTAGCCAGCCACAGGGGGAAGAAGGGAGGAAGATGGGCCTTACTTGGTGGAAAAACTATAATCATCATCATGTGGGAACAAGAGAGAAGTGCAGGGGAAGCCCCGCAGCACCCTCGACCCGAAGGACACACAGTGGCCCCAGATCTTGCTTTAATAAGCTACCTGGGGCCTGGCAGGGAGGCCTGATATGATCAGGCTGCTACTTAAATCACACAAAGCCTTCTATTCTTAGCTGAGCAGAGGCTGCTTCCTTCCCTGCAGCTGGTCAATGCCACCAGCCCTAGCAGTGTGGGCCTGATGGTCAGTCACAGCCACAAGAAGATGGTGAGCATCCCTGTGACTGGACTGAAGCCCAAGGTCCCCACAGGAGGCTGCAGAGGGAGCCCCTGGTGTCCGGGGGGCCTACAGAGAGGCGGCCTGCGCTGGGTGGAAGACTGGATAAGATGACCTCCTAAGATGACTTCCAAGTCCGATCTGGGTCCCAAAGTCTTGATTCCAAAGGGCCAAGATTCTAAGGTTCCATGATTCAGTGCTTCCGAGGGCTGGAAATAGAAAAATTCCATGGTTCTGAAGGATAGAGATTCCAAGATGCAGACAAAGACCTGAGGCTGAGCTCTAGTGCACACACCTCTCCTTCCCCTTCAGAAGCAGAGGCTGGCCGGCTCCGTCCTGACCCTGGGCCCCCCCCCCCCCCCGCACACACAGCCCACATAGACTCAGCACTGAGATCAGCAATGCTCCCTCACCCTCCCCCCACCCCGACCCAGCTGGATCTGCTGCGGCAAAGTTCCTGGGGAACTTCTGGGCATGGAGAGGGAACAGGGAAAGGAGCAGGGGACAGGCCAAAGTCGCCCCGAGGCCCACCAACACCAGACACAGCTGGGCAGGGCATCCACTATCAGTGTTTGTCCTGTGCCAGCAGGGCTAGCATATGTCGTCAGAGAGGCCCGGAGAGGCTGGCTGACCTGCCCAAGGTCAAGTCTGGGAGATGGAGGAGACAGGGTGAGAGCCCCAGGCCCTGCTGGAGAGGTCATTCCTCATGCCTCTGCACTTTAGGGCACAGCTTCCTGGAACCGCCACTTCCAAACCTCTTTTAGATGCAAAACTGAGGCCCATAGAAAGGTCAGGTGCTCAAGGTCACAGAAATTGGTGGCAGAGCCAAGCAAAACTGTTACCCCTGACTGTCACCCATCCCCTGGCCGGGTCCCCACCAGTGCTCCTTCTTCGGATCCCCCTTTTCCACCCACATGGAACCAGGGTGTCCAGAGCAGGGTCACCTCCTGCTCCCTCAGTCCAGCACAGTAGCTGCTCCACAGGGTCATCTGAGGGACAAGCCGAAAATCAGGAGATAGGACAGTGGGTCACAGACTCATGCCCAATGCTGGCCAGCTGAGTGCCACACAGTCTGGCAAGGGCTGACCTTGACATGTGTCAGGAACGTGCACATGGGTACTTGCCAGGAATACTCAGGGGCTAATTAGCCAGCTGTCCCACTAAGGAAGGCAAATGAGGCTCCACTCAACTCGCCTCACGGAGCTTGCCTGTCACCTGCATGGGGAGCCCAGCCTCGGCTTCCTGAGCACGGGTCTGCACCCCGAGCCTCCTACCCCCCAAGTACCTCCTGCATGTTAGTTGCTTCCCCCCTCAATAGTGTTATAATTTCTCATCTGAATGTCACAGAGCGTGAGTTGTTATTCTTTATCTCCCTTTTACAGGTACAGGGAGAGCTGGGCCTTGCCCTAGACCACTGCCCGCTATGCAGAGTCAGGACTTGCACCCAGGGCCGCCTGGCTGCACGGCTTTGCCGGGTCCCAGCTCCCGCACGCCCCAGGGATTCAGAGAATCCTCTGTTGGGGTCATAGGTTGAGAACGTATCCCAGTTGCACTGACCAAGGAGCTCAACAGAAATTTCCTCTTTCCTGCTTAGAGAGACCGCGGGTCAAGTATCTAAAAACCTAGTTTCTTTGCTCTGGGCTGGAATTAGATCCTCTCTGCAAATTGGTGGCCGACTATATGTGCAGTGCCCTAGAGGGTGTTCCCCCCCAACTGAAGTTTGACCTGACCTCCTACCAGCCTTGTGAGGGTGGCCTAGGCTGAGCATCAGAGTGGCCATGTCACAAATCCCAGGTTGCACAGGCATGGGGTAAAGACGGTGGAGAACTGATGTTTATATTCACTGGGCCCGGTTATCAATCAACTGCTTAAGTTTACACAGACTCTCTGTCATACCCTTCTCTCCCCCGCTTCCTGTCTGCAGCCCTCCACCTCCACGCTAACCCAAGCAGAGGGCACATCCATCTGCACTGCCTCCAGGTACCAGCCGAGCCCAGCTGTCTGCACCCAAGCCCAGCCCTGGCAGGTCTGGGACACCATCTGGGAGCCCCTCAGGAACAAGGGCATTGAAAGGGACCCACAGAACTCTGGCAGAAAAGATGCTGGGCATAGCCCAGCCCTGGACCCCTGCACCCCACCCTGGGCAGGGCGGCTTTGACCAAGCACGGCGTGCATGACAGACTGTAGGCCCCCCAAAGTAGCTGCCCCAGGCCCTGCTAAAATAAAGTTGCATCCACACCAGAAACTTGAGTTGCCCCAACTAACACCTCCTGGCACCAACTGGGAAGTGGAGGGGATGGAAGGGTGACAGCCTTGTTCTGCCCCTCAGGCCCAATGTCCCCCGAACTCCCAGCTATAAGGGACACAGGCCAGAGTCCCTTGCATGTGGGCAAGTCCTGTTGGAACCTACCTATGAGCACACAGGCAAGCTGGTGACAGGGAGCTCCTGACGTGTGCCCCCATACTTTCCCAGAGGCCATACTTAATACTCTGCAGGCCTCTGGGGTGCGGCTGGGAAAGGGGGTGGCGCCTGGCTCCAGGACGCAGCAGGCAGATTCTCTTCCTGTTTCAATGCTCACAAACACAGGGGTGCAGACACACCGCCTGATCTGCATGCGCAGCGTGTACATAATTCATGGGCTCCTATCGCTTTGGCCTGGATAAAATGAATGCAGCGGGAGAAGCCACGCGGAAAATAGTAAGCAGCC